GGGCTGTTGGATTATGGCAAGGCAGAGGTCAAAGGGCCAGGGCAAGAGTTCTCAGTGTCCTGCTTGAGAAGAGGGCAGGCAGAGTTCTGAGACTAGCCCTAATCGACTAAGGAGCTGGGCCCTTGTTCCAGCTCTGCCTGTGATAGACCGCGGCACACCTGGGTTCATATCTGACCGTGACAACTACCAGTGGTGTGGCTCAGACACTGCTTTACAAACACCGTCTGTAGAGAAAATGAAAGTTCCTATGGCCAGGATTCTCACCTGGCTGTGGTCGGCTTACTTACACATGTGTGGGCAATGCGTTGTTATTGACTCTATATAAAGAGCTCCACCCAGTGCTCTGGGTAACATGGTGGCATGGCTGCAGGAGAGCAGAGACCGAGACAGCTGCGGGGTGAGACGGCTGTGGGGTGGAGAGGCCCAGAGGCAGAGACTGGCTTGCTGCATGCAGACAGCTCTGAGTAGATGGGATTCTAGTGATTAACCTGCCACTGTGGAAATAAAGTTGGGTATAAACCCTTTCATCCCAAGAACTTTCTGTTGTCATTTTTCAGTCTCACCAAATCATGAGTGAACTTGTCCGGGGCTGAAACTCATTGGCAAGACAGCCTCCTTCCCAGGCTTTGTTAACAGGTTACTCATTGATTTCTTAGGAATACCAGCTCCTGTGGGGAGGCTGTGACTGCAGAGGACTGACACTTCTGGAGCCGGGTTACAGGAGGGTGAGCCTAGTGCTGCCCTGGGAGATGCAGGGTTGGAAAGAATTTCCCAAAGTGGAGCAGGCTCACCCCTGGGGCCTTCTGTGATATACATACAGATGGGCCACTTTTCATTTTAATAATTGTGTTTATTTGTGGGGAAAATGGAAGTTCCCATGGACAGGATGCTCACCTGACCCTCATCTACTTGCCCACTGCGCATGTGCAATGATGTAATACTGGATCTACTGTGTAGGTCAATGCTCACAAGTGCTGGCAAGGAGCCATTATCGTCTGTGTTGCTATAAACAGCTCCGCCCAGCGCTCTGTGGGGAGGCAGATTGTAGATTGGGGACTTGGCTAATGCCGACTTGATCCTAGTGCCAGACCTCCGCCCCAAGAACAAAGCTTGGTGTAAGACTTTTCAGGACCAATGTCCCACTGCTATTTGGTCTCACTGAATCCAGAGTGAACTTGCCTGCAGCTGAAATTGTCCGGCGCCACATCGTTTTACTGCGTATTAGCAAAACTATAACTAGCCCATCACTCTTCGTTTTAGGATAGGCTATGTAAAAGCAAATTGATAAAAAGATAAAGATAAATGCTGAGTAACTAGTACACAGAGGTGGCAAAATTGTGAAAATGTGGTCTGTGAATGTCCTGCTGTGCCCTGGACTTGCCTGGTGTCATACTGCAAGTCCCGTGTCCTGGGAACCCTTGCAGTCCCAGGCGGACCAGGGCACCAGGTGACCTGTGTGTGAATGCTAGAGGTTTGGGATATGCTGAATTCAGGTACTAGAGTCAAACAGACCTGGTTCAACTCCTGGCCCAACATCCACTGGTGGATGACTTTCTGGCTCTTTGTAAAACCACAGTTGTGGTGAGGAGTCAATGGGGAACCTAGATTAAGGACCCAGTGGTCCTTAATGCATGGAACATAGTAGGTGCTTAATCAATTCAGCACTCATTCAACAAATATTTAAGCACCAACTGCATACCAGGTGTATGCTGGGTGCTCTAGATGCAGCAAAGGATAAGCTTGTATCATCAGGGAAGATAGTTAAGAGTAACTCACACAGGGTGGGGACAGTGGAAATGCGCTGACAGTGGAAATGGGCAGAGAGGGACATCTGGAAAGGGTGCTGTCATCCTGAGCCCTAAACAAGGAGCCTCAAGGCAAGAGACCTGGGGCCACCAAGGTCCCTGCAGAATGAGGGAAGGCCTAGCTTTAAGGGTAAGTGCAGGTCACCCGAAGAAGTGGGTACAGCAGTGGCGTGGAGCCATCAAAGGAGCTTAGATTCTGTGGTCAGGACAGCGTGAAGCACTGAAGTTTCAATGCAGAGGAACATGACCTAATTTCTGGCTACAACTGAAAAATAGGCTCACCTGATTGAATGCAGGGAGGCATGGAGATGGATTTTAGTATCAACTCATTTAACCTTCACCACAAGGCAGACAGGAGTCTCGCCTTCTTGAACAAGGACAAGGCAGAGGGACTGATGTATTTGTATATTTGTATATTACTGTAACTTGAAATATACCATATAAAACACTTGGCTTAAATGTTGTGTTCCTTATTATTCCAGGCTGAGAACTGTGCATGTTTTCAGGCCTTCATTAAGCAAGCATTTGCTGAGCTTTTATGGCTGGCCAGTGCTGCAGAGGGCTCTGAGGGACACTGCTGGTGCCCAAGTTGGCTGTCTCCTCTTCTCTGCCCTCTCCCCTCCCAATACCTCCTCTGGCCTGACATTACCATACTTAATTCAGAGCAGGGCTTCCAACCTGAGGATTCCTAGGGGATCAATGAACACATAGAATTGTATGCAAAACTACCCATGTGTCCAGATTTGCAAGAGAGTCCCTAACCTAAAGCTAGATTAAGAACCAGTGGCATTATTAACAATAGCCAAAATAGGGAAACAACCTAAATATCCATCAGTGGATGCAGGGATAAAGAGAATGTGGCATTTACATGGGATATTTGTGTGTATTTACTTAAGGTATATACAGTAAAATGCACAAATCTTAGTGTACAGCTGAACTTTGACATGTGTACGTGGCTCATGTAGCCACCACCCAGATCAAGATATCAAACATTCTTATTTTTTCCCCTTTGCCTATTTCAACCACCCCCCCCACCCTGCCATGGCAACCATATTCTGTCCTCTGTATGAATCTTTCTGTTTTGTACGTTTTTTTAGACTCCACATGTAAGTGAAATCATATGGTATTCACCTTTTTCATTTTGACTTATTTCAGCTCAGCATAATATCCTCTAGGTGTATCCATGTTGTCACAAATGGCAGGATTTCCTTCTTTCTTATGGCTGAATAATATTCTATTGTATAAACAAATACAATATATATAATATACATATACAATGTATACATATATGTGATGGAATATTACTAAGCCACTAAAAAAGAACAAAATCTTGCCATTTGCAACACGGATGGACCTTCAATACCTATGCTAAGTGAACTAAGTCAGCAGAGAAGGACAAATACTGTATGCTATCACTTATATGTGGAACATAAAGAAGTCCAACTCACAGAAACAGTAGAATGATGATTGCCATGAGAAGAGGGAAACAGAGAGAGGCTGGTAAAATGATACAAACTTTCAGCTGTAAGATTAGGTCTGAGCATCTACTGTAAGACATATGTGATTCTTTCTTTTATATGTTAAAAATGCAATTTTATGGGGAAAAAACCCATGGTAGACCAGGTGAGTGCTCCCTGGGTGCTGAGCAGGACTTCCCCATGAACACCCATCCCTCTGCGCACCAGCTAGAGGACACGGAGGGCTCCTGGAGGGATGGGCCGGCCCGTGTGCAGTGATTGCTCTGAGTTGGGGTATTGGCTGCGGAGAGGGAAGAGGAAAGGGCCACTTCCGGACCGCTGAGCCCTGTAAAATGGCAGCGGATGTGGGTCGCTCCAGATTCACCTATGGCTTTCTTTTTGAAAAGGCATTCCTGGGGACCATAGAAGCTAGTAACAGGTCAGCTTCTCCCATGGGAATTCTCCACGAGGGAGGCAGGGCCTCGGGGTGCAGCAGAGAAAGTAGACGGCTGTCTCTGGCGCAGCTGACACAGGACGCCAAGGCGCACATTGCCAAGCAAAGCCCACACGGAGAGCAGCCAGTCCTGTACACCAGGACTGAGCTCTGGTCCCCCGGTGCTGCGACCCAGGGCAGGCCCCCCTCTGCACTGCTCCCTGATTACACACCGGGGAGTGGGGGCCAGGTCATCTCGATTATTTGTTTCTGCCCCAACAGCCTATTCCTCAGCCTGAGAGGGGGGCTCACTGGAGGTGAGGGCAGCCCTTAGCAGCAGCTGTGCTGCACCTCTAGGTCTCTCCTCCAGGGTGGGGTCTCTGAATCTGAGGACAGCTGGGTTGACTGTGTGCTGGGTCAGGCCCTGCGCCACCACAGCACCGCTGAGGTCCTTCCTGACCTCAGCTCCATTCTCAGCCACCCTCTGCTCCTCCTGCTTCTTGGTACTAACGACAAAAGCCATCTCTGGGTGGCATGGTGGGCGCCTATTCCCTTCCCTTTGGGGACCCATGGCCCTCTGTGGTCACACAGACCACAAGGCCAGGCTGTCCCTGCTGGAGAGGGAGTCGGCCCTTCCTCCCCTTCACTTCCGCCTAAGAAGCTCCTCTATCTTTCATTTTGCTTAAGTCAGAGTGACTATGGGTGCTTATTGCCAAAATACCTTTTAGGAGAACCTCCACACAGGCGACTAAGCCCAGGGAGCACATCCTCAAAGAGCCTTAGAAAAACTCCTTGGTTTCCAAGGACCCTTCTGCCTGTCTTCTAGGCAGGAGAGCAGCGGGGAGGTGAAGATGAGGCTTTTCTCAGGCCTCGCCAACATTCTAGGTGCAGGTGGAAGGCCCAGCGGGGCAGCACTGCTCACTGGGCCTGGAGGCAGCTGGGGGCTGCAGGGCATCCCACCCGACAGAGGGAGTAAGGCAGAGGCTGGTTCAGTGGTTTTCAGGACCTCACGAGTACTAAGTAGGTAAGCAGGAGGGCTGTGCTTCTACTGACCCACGCTGCCCCTGGGCAGGACCACAGTGCCTTCCGGGACATGCTGGCTGTGACCAACGCGGTCTACTCCCCATTTACACCACATAAACTAAAGTGAACACTACACTGTGGGGCTTCTGTCAATGCTTCTGTTCACTCCCTTGTGTTCCTATTAACAGTAATTCTGATCTAACAATTCTGTTTTGGAAAGAAAAAGGCCAGAGTGCAGTCATTATACTTCCAAGAAACTAAACTCAAAAACACAAATGTTTCACAAAAGCTTTATTTGTGGCCCCTCTACAGTTCTCACTTCAGTACACGAACAACTCAGTCTGGGCAGTGCTTCTAATAAGTCATATAAGACTGGAACACACTGAATGAATAGTGAGCTTGATACAAAAATAAATTAAAAGCTACTGCAAAGCTTTACACATACAAAAAGTCAACACAAAATAGTTAGTGAGGTCTTCATAACTGTCTATCATATCCAAGTATGAAGATTAAAAGAACAAGGGATGTATGCTAAAATACTTCTCTGGTAAATAGAAATCCTGCAAAGTGACTGCATTACTGTCTCCAGCTTTTTACTGTGATAAAGAGACTTATGGATCCTCTTTTGGAACTGGAAATGATCACAGCTCCACCAACATGTTAACACAGCAGAGTTAGGCTCAGGGCAAATTTCTATAAACCAAATTTCCTTATCCTGTGGGCTAACAGGCAGGAAAAGCTTTCAACTTTCTTCTGATCATTCAAGAACCAGAGTGTTTAAATCTTTGAGAAAAAAGAACAAATGATACAGAAATATAATCTTCCATCTGTATAAGATTCCAGGTTTCTAAGCACCTAAAAGGCTGAGGCAAGATTAATCAGAAGCTGGTGAGCCCTCATGAAGACTCTCAAAAGCTGGAGACCCATGCCTGCACCTTGTTCATGTGTGAATGAAGATGCCAGTTCTAGAAATATCAGGTGCCTGTGAGTGACGGCCAACACAGCAGCATCCATCTGAATGCCTGACCGAATCAAATCCCAGGGAGCCACTCTACTGACCTGAAATCAGGACTCAGAACCTGCTTTTGTACATGGAACTTACTGGAACCCAGCTGGCCATGTGTGCACCACTGACTATGCTGCTTTTGCACTACAACAGTGAGTTGAGTTGTAAAGTAAAAACTATCTCTGTTCTTTACAGAAAAGGTTTGCTGATACCTGCTCTAAATGAGAACTTTGCTTCTCAGGACCCTTACAAAAAAACATGGAAGATTTCTCTCTGTGTAGTGACTGCCAAATAATTCTGCTCTAACTAGATTACTTAAGTGACACCTGAGTTTTCATTCTGGGGCCTATGAGAAGACAAGAGGTACCAGCTGTGGCCTGAATGAAGAAGCATAAGAGCACAAGCAGGATGCAAGGGACAACCCAAGGCTTTCACCCTTAACCGTCCACAGAACATGCAATTGTGCAAAAGCAAATAAAGGTAAAGACAAAAAGTAAACTGTGAAAAATATTTTTTTAAAGAATTTTTCTTACAACAATATAAACATTTTAGGAAAGCTGCTAAAGGCATGTCTAAACTGATCAAGATGAAGGAACTAACCTGCCTTCATTTGGCAGTTTCCTGAAGGGCAGGGATGGAAGGACAATGAGCCCTTCCTGTGTCTAGCGGTGACACTACTGACAAACAGTAAGAAAGATGATCGTATTTCACAAGTTCAGAAGGAGAGTCTAGAGACAAACTGAAGCCTATCAATATTATTGTAAGCCACCAGGCCACTACTACCCACTTTCAGGGCTCTAAGTGGACTGAGTCACTTCCTTCCTGCTGCCCGGAGCTGAATTAAGTGGCAGGCGTCTACTGCAGGGCACAGTGCTAAGTGTCCTCAGGAGTGCCCAAACCACAAAAGGAGCCTGCCACTTTCTATGCAGCTGCCTAAAACCCACTCATGGGCACCACTCACAAGTCATGCATCTTGTCATCTTTGAACACAGTGAGTAACCAGAGTAAACATGGTACTGGAATCTGGAGAGAAGGTAACCACAGTGAAGTAGAGCCTGAGGCTGAAGTGGCCTTCTTTATTTTCTGTTGATCTGGGCCTGTTATCTCAACTATAAATCATCTCCAAGCAGCCTTCCAATGGAAGAATGTTAACAGCTTTCTAGCTGGAACGCTCAAATAAACTATTATTCTTGCTCTCTTTTCCAACGTGTTCTCATTACTGCTGACTTAAACGTTGCTGATATTTCTTTAGCTATATTGTGCTACTGTATGGGAATCTCATCTAGATACAGGAAAAAATTCCTGCCCAATGAGCCCTCATTTTGAACAGCCAGCAGGGCTTTATCTCATACGAGGAGCAGAGCTTTACATAGTTTATCAGATGATTCAGATGTGCAGGTGGATTTTGTTCTCTTGTGATGGGGAACTATGTCCTGAAGTTCACCAGCTTGGTCCCTCCCGCATCACTGCAACCGGCCTGCCTCCTGACCCAGTATCATCTCAAATCCCTGCTAGCATCTTTTACTGACACCCACAAGCTTCTCTCTCCTCACAGAGACAGACATCCCCCTCCCTCCTGACATGTTCACGGATGTCCTCAGCATGGCCCTGCCCTCCATTCTAAGATGAGCAGAAGAGAACTGGTCTAGCAGCTCTAGAGATGGCACGAGTAGCAGATATGTGAGAGAAGTTATACCTGACAGGCATCTAATCCAATACATTAAAGTATTAATTTCTCTGTTTACCACTTCAAGCCAAGATATGAGAAAAAGTTTCCTTTTCGCTTGAGAAATTTGAATTCAAATGAATTTTAAGAAAGTGCTTATCATTATGCTGACTGGTAAGAATACAGGTACCTGAAGACACAAAGGTTATAGAATATTTTCAACAACTTAATCCCTAAATTTTAGAAATTAAAATTAGGATGGTGCTAACCCTAAACTAGATGGGGAATTTAGGCTTTCTGAGCTGCTAATGTCTTGGCTGCATGTGGTTAGAAGCCCAAGTTCAGCCTTTCAGTTCATGTAGGGTTGTCAGTACACTGAAAATTCCATGTCCAGTCCAACATGTCCTGGATAAAGCTCTGGTTCTAGGTGTCATTTACAGCTGCAAGAAAATCTGTCTTACAATTAAAAACTGGCAAGAGTTGCAGCAATGAAATTCACAAATTTAGCATAATGGCTTAAGGGAGGCAGCCAGCAAGAAGTGTCAACTTTCTTTCCTTCAGCAAAACTACTTTGTGCAAAAGTGGTTTCCAATCTCTCCAGCTCCCTGGGAAACAACACAAAATTAAGATTCCTGAGCTTTCCAGTCAGACTCTAGTGTGTGTTTGCCTGAACACGATTATGCCCAGGATAGTCTAAACCATGGAGCTTTAAAGATGGATGTTCTTCTATGCTGGGCAGCATAAATTAACACTCAGTTACATACATATTATGGGGCAGAAAATTAAAAAACACATTCCAAGTGGTATAGTTCAACACCAGTCCTTAAAAACAGGAATTAACTACAACTTTGTCAAAGTGGTTTCCATATCATCCTAATTTCCAATAGCAATTGATGTTACCTTGTGAATTCTAAAGTTTTAAAGCTAAAAGAGTATTTTTCTACTGTTGGGACTACAGCTGGTTATTTTTATACTTTATTTTCTTTCTATGAGATGAGCATGTACTACTTCAGCATCAATAATTTTTCTGTATAGACCAAAAGTGATGAGGAAATTCTAGAGAACTTTTTAAAACTAACATGAAATTCTTAATGTACTGTGAGATGCAAGTTCTTTCACTATGTTGTGTATAGTTTCACACAGGGTAGTTGTTCAAGAAACAAAATCCCCCCACACCAATTTCCCATTTCTGTCCTGGTATTTTGTGTTCCTCAGCTTACAAGGTCTGAATTTACTCCACTTACATTACCTTTTAAATGGAGCCATGTTAGCCCAGTGCGCAGAAGTGGCTGTGTGCTACTCCCTCCGGACCTGAGTCTGTCAAGGAGCACACTCCTCATTGGGCTCAGGAGGAATGATGGGTGTCTACAGCTAAGAGCCCCAGGGTCTCTCTAGCCTATGCTTGCCCCTTCCAGGCTGAAGTCACAGAGTATGTCTGTGATGCATGAGAGTTTCCTATGAGAAGGGCTGGGAAAAAAAAAAAGACAGGCAATTGCTTTCTCCACAGTTCTTCTCAAGATTTATCTTGCCTTGATGTAAACCTGGGGTATTAAGATAGCTGGTCCAGTAAGAAGTTACAGGATGGGAGCCATCTGAAAACCCTCTGTACTCTAAACTTCTCTTTAGTATTTTAATTATTATAAAAAAATAAAAATAAAAAGCTTGCCCTTAATCTACCAGAAAAATGTCCTCAGCAATTTCCTAAGTTCCGAATTTCCAGGTAATACATGGAAAAGGGTAATTTCTCTAATAGGCATTCAGATCAAAGACACCCTCATACTAGAGAGAAATAATCCAAAGCTGTAGTTACGGAGGTGCTATGAACAGCTACAACCACCAGGAGGAGCCAAGCAGTGTAAGAAAACCACTGGGGAAGTAATTCCCTTGTTTCAGGAATTTACAACTTCAACACAATTATAAAAAAGACCAGATACCCTTAATTTGGGCAAATACGCAGTCTAATGAAGTCCCTCCAGCTGGACGGAAAATGTGGCAGTGCTTTCACGAGGTGAAGTCAAATTTAGGTGAAAGTAAAGGGCAAGTTGCTGAATCCAGTACATTCCAGTTAAACCCATTCACGGAGGGGCTGCTGGAGGGGTGGGGGCATTTCCATCTACAGGTGGGGAGGCAGCTCCCTTAGAGCTCAGTTGTCAGTAAACACTTCTGCTTCAGGACGGCTTCTTCCGCCAAAGCTGGAGCAGAGCTGAAAGGAAGAAAGAACTGGTATTCAGTGAAACCACCGGGGGTAGGAGCACGTGCGTTTCTCCACCTGTGCCACACGAAGCATGTAAAGGCTAAGTCAGAGACCTAAATGACGATGCTGTAACACCTAATTTACCAATTCGATTTTCCAAAGGAGGGAATTTTCTACATAACTGATGAACATTTCTCATCTTGAAGAAACCTAAAGATATCGATTTCCTCTGCCAAATATGCCAGAGACATTTAACCATTTCTTAATGAGTCAGTATTTTGAGTATCAAGAACAGTACTATGCTGAACATGAAGCAGCCTGCTCTGGAAACACCAAAGCCGTAGGCTGTTCCGCGCTTCCTTATGTAGTTCCGCATGGCTGTGTTGTGAGTTACTACACGAGTTAATCTGCTTTGTTAGAGGGCTGTGAAAAATGATAGTATGGTGGCTTTGCATGAGGGCCCAAGGGCCTCTGCTCTAAGTGAAGAGTATGAACTTAGATGCAAGAATGTAACAATGTTTATTTTCGTTTCATAAACAATATCAAAATATATAGTACAAAGGACATCCTTTAATATATCGAAAGTACTACCAAGATTTACAGATGAAACAGCAGCCACTTGTTCCACCCCTCCCATTTCTATTATGCAGACACAACACTCAACCATTTCTTTTCCTGGTATTTCCTCTCGTTGTTCTCTATATCTGATTCTCAGAGTGTAGTCCCTGGAATTTGTTACAAAGTCTCAGGCTCCACACAGACAGGCCACCAGGCTGAAGGCCTGTCACTCTCCTGTGTTGTGTAACAAGTGCCCAGGTGACTATGGCGCACAACCAACAGTAAGTAGTCCTGCCTAACTTTTCTTCTAAGTCGTGTGTTTCTACAGTGACTTCCTACTGTTTACTATAAAGGCTTAATATTCATACACCTCTGTGTGTAAAATTGAAACATTTCCAGACTATCTCACCTGGCTTTAGTATATCTGCATATCAATAGGTGTTCAGAGGTGAAAAGAAGTATGGCTGTAGTGCATTTGCATCTTTCTTCAGGGGTGGAGAAGTTCATCTCCATATCAATGGGTAATTCCCTAGGCAACCGAGGGCTTATCTGTACCTGAGAGGTGAGGGGGACAGCTGGTGTGGTTGCTGTTGGCGCAGAGAAGACGGCCCTGGACTGCAGTTTGTGAGCAATAAACGGATTTTAAACTTTATTTCTCCCTTTGACTGATTTTGGTTTTTAGGGGTATTTTGCCCTGGGATTTCCTTTCCCCGGACTTACAACCACAGTCAACAGCCCCGCCATTCTTCCTCCTGTCTTTTCAATAGTTATATGAACAATTCAGTTTGTTGTAATTATGTAAATATTTTCACATCTGAGTACTTATATACTTTTTCCTGCACACTTTCTTTTCCCTGGACTGAATAACTGTCTCATTTTTGTTGTGACTGCCTGCTCAGTTTTTTCCATACTTATTTCTAATTTATCTCCAGCCTTGCAGATAGACCCCTACCTAGTTCTCTTTTACACTCAGACATTTATATAATTTTTCTAAAATTGGGATGGGTCACGTTTTTTATTTTATTGGCAATATCCTTCCTGAACTCCTCTTCAAATCAGCACAGGATCCTTTCTAGGCTGCTTGGCAGCTGCTACCTCGGAACTTCCCTTCACCTTCCTCCTGGAACTGTTTCCTGGGTCCCACGTGGTCTACCTTCTTGAATTATCACAGGTGGAAGGAACACATCCTCCAGTAAGCAGCTGCCTGCGTGAGACCACATGGCAAGTTTGATTTTGGAGAAACTCTATGTCTACATATTCTAGTCCCAAATTTTATTGATAGTTTGGGTATCAAACTCTAGGTGAAAAATGCTTTCCTCCAGAATTCTGAAGGCATTGTTCCATTATCTTCTAACCTGCAGTGAAGTCTTCTGTCATTCTGACTACCAATTATTTCTAAGTACTGTTTTTAACTCCCTCTCTGTGAAGATATATCCTCTTAACTTGGACATTCTGAAATTGCATGATGTTCCTTGGTGGGCGTTGTCTATTTGCATTCTCGGACTCAGTAGGCCCATTTAACCTAAAAACTCAAGTACTTCAGTTCTGGGAGATCTCAATTCCTTCAAGAGTGTTTTTTCTTTTATTTATTCTGTTCTTCCTTCTGGATCTCTGATGGTTCACACATTGGACTTCCAAGACAATCCTCCAGTTGTTTTTTTCTCTCACAGTTTTAACCTTTTTGTTCTACTTTTTGGAAGATTTCCTCAATCTAATCTTCCACACATTCTTTGGATTTTATTTTTAACATGGTTTAATAACTTCTAAGAGTATTTTGTTTTTTCTGTTCCGTTTTAATATTTTCCAGTTACTCTTTCATGGGTGCAATTTTGTCTCTAGTGATGCAAAATAAGACTATCTCTTGTGGGTTTTGAGACTCACATTGCCTTTATTTCTTCCTTGTTTCTTTTTCAGTTTACTTGCTTTAGCCTTTCCCCAAATATCTGATAATCTTTGGCTTGCTTCATATTTAAGACACAAGTACTGGAATGCTGTTTGGAAACTGTACATATTGGCAAAACTCACTAATGGGCTTCCAGGCAGTTATTTATGTAGATTTACTGGCAATTTTGTTAGATGGGCCTTTTCTCTTTGGTTGGTCAGCTTCTCTAAAGAATAATCCTCTTACTTTCTCACCTGAGACATTCACAGCTTGGCCAACAGCATACTGGAAGCTGCAAAAAGAAGGAAGGGTGGCTGTCTCGCCCTTCAGTGTATGTGCTTTGAGTTTACCTCCCTGTTTTCAGTTCAGGGCCTGAATCTAAACAGAAACTTCCAAATCCAGAGGCTCACTGGCCCAGCTCCTCTGGAGGGAAACTAGAATCATGCCAGCATGGGTGGGGTGGGTATGTTGTGTCTAAATGGGTATAAATACTTTCAACCAATTGTCATATTCTCAGCCCCACCTTGCACCCCTACCTTCACAAACAACTGGTACTTCCAATTCCTTGCCTTTCCAGTGTTCTGCAATGTACTGCCTGCTTTGTATTTTCTGTTTCCACACCCCCACCTCCACCACCACTTTCAGGCTGATTTCAATTTTCTCCTCTCTGCTAAGTACGTTGCCACTTATTTAAATGTCATCTATCTGCTTCCAAAACATTTGAGGTCTCTCAGTTGCTGTTGTCTCTTCTGTTCTTTGTCCTTATGGTCTTATGCATTTAAAGTAAATATGCATTACAAGTAAATATGAATCGGTAGAGCTGTGACCCAATCATCATTTTAAGAAAATTTACTGATTATAATACACATATACTGAAGTGCACAAATCATGAGTTTACAGCTTGATAGCTTTTGCAAACTAAGCAAACTTTTGTAATCAGCATGCAGATTAAAATTACTAGCGCTGCAAAAGTCCTTGTGGAAGTGTGCGTTGGTGGTATAGTGGTGAGCATAGCTGCCTTCCAAAAGTCCCTGTGGGCTCCCTTCCAATCATTAACCACCTCAAGGGTAGCCATAATAATTGGTCTTTAAGAGCTGTGTCTCTTTTTGAACTTTATTTGCTTACCATTATTGGGGTGGGGAAACTGAGGGTCCCACTAACCCTTACTCTTACCTTAGGTCAGGTGATCCCCACCTCCTGGTAGCCACATTCTCATGTAGGCTCCCTTTGAGCATAGGCAGGACCTGGAATTTGCTTTAACAGAATGTAGCAAAGCTAACGGTATGTCACTTCTGTGATTACATTACACAGCATTGTGACTTCTGGCCTCTAGCAGACTCTCTGCTGCCTTCGTGGTTTGCTAACTTTGATGAGGTAATCAGCAATTAGAGTGGAAAGGTCCACATGGCAAAGACTGAGGGTAATCTCTGGCCAATAGCCAGCTAAAAACTGAGGCCCTCAGTCTAACAGCTCTTAAGGAACTAAATTCTGCGAACTACAACCAGTAGCCCTTCTTGACTTGAGTCTTCAGATGAGAACCTACCCCTGGCCGACACCCTGATGGTGGCCTTGTGAGTCTACAAGAGACTCTGAAGCAGAGGACCCAGAAAAGCCATGTCTACACTCCAGACCCACAAAAAACGAGATTATAAATGTGTGTTGTGTTAAGCTGCTCAAGCTATGGTATAATTATGTTAATGTGATTCATGTGTATTCTACACTGCAACTGATGTGCATTAATTTTCATTGCTCTACATCTACCTAGTTGAATGCTAATGTGTTGGGAGCCGGGGCTATGTCCCTTCCCCCACGTCTGAACGCAGCATGGGAAAGCACAAGCTTGAGAGCAACCGGTGCAGTCCTTGGAAGTTATCTGCTCACAAAAACATATCTTGTCCTTGAAGATGAGCCAAGACTCCTCACTCTGAAAATAGGGAGACCTTGAGGATGTGTGAAAACACCTCCCCGCCAGCGCCACCTAAGGTCCAATTATCTCCTGACCCACCCCTTACTTGCTACTTGTATAAATTGAGCCTGTAAACAATAAACTTCGCCAGCTTGATCAGACATCCTGTCTTGCTGGTCATTCTTCGTGTCTCTTGCTTGTCTCATTTCTGCAGGTGTCTCCGGCACACTCCACGTTCGTCCTGCGGGCCGGGACACTAATGTACTTTAGGGAAGTTTTCAGGTTGGACTATTATGTATACTCTGCTGTAAACATTCTTCTACATGCCTTTTGATGGACATATATTTTTATTTCTATTGGGTATGTATATAATAGAACCACTGAGCCTCTGGGTATGTTCAGCTTTAGTAGATAGTGCCAAACCAACTTCCAACATGGTTATTCGAATTTAAAGAGTTCCAGTTGCCCCATATCTTCACCAGCACTTCATACTAGGTGTCTTCTTCACTTTAGCCATTCTGTTGGTGTGTAGTAGTCACCACATGGTGGTTTGAATTTGTATTATTCAATAACTAGTCAAACTGCACAGCCTTGTTGCTTACTGGCCTTCTGGGTATCCTCTTGTGAACTACCTATTCAAGTATTTTGCCTACTTTTCTAGTGAGCTTTTTCTTGCTGATTTGCAAGAGCTCTTTATATATTCTGGATATAAGTTCTTTGTCAGAGAGAGAAACAGGGAGGGAGGAAGTACAAATGTTTTCTCTCACTCTACAGCTTCCCTTTTCTAGCTTTTGAAATCATATCTTTTTATGAACAGAAGTTCTTAATGTAATCCAAGTGATCAATTTTTTACTGTTTATGATTAATGCTTTTTATGACCTATTTAAAAAAATCTTTTGTCTATTTCAATCAGGCCACAAGGATATTCACTTATATTTTCTTCTAAAAGTTTATTTAACATTTCATACTTAGACCTGTAACCCACCTAGAATGGATTTTTTGCATATGGTATGAAGTTGGTCAAGACTTTTTTCCACATGGATATTTAATTTGTCCAGCTGACTTACTGAAAAAACATTCTGTCCCCACAGCACTGCACCATCTCTTTTTCATAAATCAGGTAACTATATATGTGTGTGTTTGTTTCTGGACTCCATTTTGTTCCATTGATTTGTCCTTTTCTTTTTTGGAGGTACAATAGACATATTAATTTCTGGTGTACTACTTGCCATTTTTATCTCTTAAGTTCTTTTATTACTACTTCAGGAAGGAGTGGAGAAGAGCTTTTCTTTCGTCAGTAATTTTAAATTTATAAGTCCTTAATAACTCACACTTTATTGTTTAAGCTCAATTAGAAAGCACTATCACCTGGTCCTCTGCAGGTAATCTCTATTTTTATAGTGGCAATTACTAGACAGATAAATGTTTAGAACATAACATTAAATTTGTATCAAGTGATCTTTGACAACTACATGTGAGTTCCCCAAAGCAAGAGCTATATCTATCTTGTTCATTACTATCTTCAGTGCCAGACACAGTCAATGACTGGTATGTAACAGACATTCAACAAGTGTTGATGAGTGAATAATTATATTACATTAGAGACTGTGGAGATAAAAGAACAATTTTAAAATGAACTATAGATTTATCTCAAGTTAATCATCTATAATAATTTTTTCTCTCTAATGAGTTTTTTTAATCTAATTAGGATAGAATCTACTTCAATTGACCCACATTCTTAACACCAGGAGTGTAACAGAAATAGCAGACATAATCTGGAAAAAGTCTGTGGTGAGAGAGAAGGCAATTATAAATCTTTGGCACAAAATAGGTACAGTTTTGGTAAGTTGAAGAACTACATGCTGAACAAAAGCTCCTTTGAGTCCAGTTTCTGTGTGTGGCAAGCAGTCTGCTGAAATGAGTTTGTAACAGGTTTGAGTAAAAGCTATGTCAGAGCCCTCACCTACCTAGAACCTCCTGTCTCACCTTTCTGTGTGCCTCTTCATGTTATTGATGGACAACATAGTACTAAAGTATGAAAGAAAAGACATAAAGCAATTTAAAAACAAATATAGATTTTTAAAGATAAGACTGTTAATATCTCTATGAAGACTTTATTTAGAAAACCATATAACGTTGATTTAGAGTGGGTGAAAGATTGCAGCATGAGAAGTGAGGCAGAAACCGCCTCCCAAAACCACATACAACACAAAAATACAGCAAATACAACTAATCCTTAAAGAGCGAACCAAAGCCTGCAACAGACTGCCTAGATCTGGGGAAAAGAGAAGACCTCACAGAAAAGGGTAAAGTAGCAAAGCCGTGATCTGGCAGGGCCCAAGCCCTTTTCCCATCCCAGCTCAGCGACAGGAGGAAGAGAAACAGAATGGGGAGGGAGTGGAAGCCCAGGACTGTTGAACACCCAGGCCTGGAGATCTGCTCTGGGAGCATGAACCCACATTACATGGTGCTCTGGAGATTGGAGGGGTTACAAAGTAAAGACAGGAAGAATACTCAGAGAGACTTGAGATTCCAGCTGCTTGTGGAAAACAGGTACCCACACCTGGCCACTCCAGGACAAAAGAAAGGCAGGCACTTTGAAAGACTTCCCAACAGCAAGAGGGCTGCTAAAGGGGTGAGGATTACACGGAGCTTGTTCAAGAGAAAGGGCAGGTGGACAAAATTGTCCTGGTACACTCAGCCCAGCAGGTTCGGAACTTTCAGGAACTTGAGATGCTCCATCCCCTTGGGTAGCATCACAGCCTGGAGGCTCCCCACTGCGATACACAGCCCACAGCTCCTTCCTCCCAGCAGTCACTGGTCGACACACCTGTTGTCCCTGCCATTTCACCTGGCCAGCCAAGAGGTGGCCCTGCCTAAGGCAGCTACTGCGGTATAACGCAGAGGCTCCTCCCTGTGTGCTCGACTCACTGGACCTGGCAGGAGAGGCAGGCACTGCAGCTGTGAAGCAGGAAAGAGCTCTTTGTTCCCAGCAGGCGCCACTGCCACTTGCCTGCAACTCCCACCATGGCCAGGGGCTTGGCAGCTCCAGAGAGTAGAGTTTCTGGCACTAGAGGGTACTGCATACACAAAGTTATTATACAACAGAATCACTAGAAAAATGAAATGGCAAAAAAAATTTTGTACAAAATTTTAGACGCCAGAAAGAAAATCATGTGTCTACTTCATAATTTTGTAGAAAATTGCTACTGACAAAAAAAACCCATTATTCTAAATAATAAACAGAAAAGATTTATCCAGTTTCAATTAATTTCAATTAAAGAATTGGCATTCTTGCTTTAAATATAATTAGTTTTATGATTTTTTCCTCCTAAAAGATACTTAAGGGCTTCAACTGAGAAATAATTTCCTCACCTGGTCACAGCATCCACCAAGAATGGTGCTGGGGAAGAGATCACCGAGACGGCTTCTCTATTACCATGCTCTTCCTTGCCTGCCAAGGGTGCTCCATTACCTGCGAGTCCATTAGAAAGGACACTGCTCTGCTGAGGGAGACATAACGACATTTCTGGGCCAAGCTGAACATACTTACCCAATGGTCAGCAATCCAGCTGCAAATCATGTTCTCCAATGATTATGGTAATAAGAGAGATGATGATCATGGTTATTTCAGTGGTTGTTTTTTTACCTCAGGTTTTTATTTTTGTCAGCATTCTTAAAAATTTACAAACAGAAAAGTTAAATTGCTAATCTGAAGCCATTACAGTCCAGTTAACAGAACTCTGATAACCCCAAGTTTTTAAGGAAAAACAAGAGTCTGTTAATCCTTTAGGCCTCACTGTAACAGGTGACCAAAAGAACAATTGCAAGTATCAATAACTTACTGGCACAATCCACCGGGGTGTGATCATGGATGCTGAAGAAACCTAAAATAAATTTTATATATGTATTTATTTTTAGGAAAGACTGACTCGTTTTTACAGTTATACTCATAATGCTTTTTAAAAATTTTGAAACACATTGTGTGTATGGGGGGGGCAGCTCTTAATGGTCCCCCTTGAACTGCCACAGACTTCTGAATCCAAGATTCTTTTCTACAACATAGATGCCACATCTTACCACTTAAGGAACTGTCATAACTTCTGAGAATCTTTTTAAACAAAAAATGTACTACTCCAAGAATGTTACTGCTACTTTTCAGTTAACAGGACTTTCCCCCACCCTTAGTACTCAGTTTACCATTTTATTTTCTGAAATTTCAGTTCATTACACATAATCATAGCCTTCTTGGCATCCTGAACAATGGAGAGTGACTAATCCAAATGAATAATACAAAGAAAGTACACAGAAAAAAATCTGTTTACATACATGTCATTCTTTAATTATCATGCATGCATGTACAAAACAGCAATAAAAACACCCATATTGCTTCTGACTCATAGGACCTTTCTAACATTCCTCATAATGATTAATTTTTGAGTTCTTACTTCTATGTGTAGAATTATAATCTAATAAACTCCTCCTATTTTATGGAAACTCCCACTAGTCCTTGGACTGGTGGCCTTAAATTCTGATAAAAAATTAATACGTAAGTAAATTAGGTAATCCCAGAAGAATGAAAATACAGTGTATGACTTTTCCACCAATATAAGAAAATGTACTTTCACCACAGGAAATGAGAGAGAGAGAGAGAGAGAGAAAATATGGTAAAAGTAAAGAAAACATGGTTTGGTGGAAATGAGTGCTATAATAAGCATAATTACAGTAAATACACAGATACACTCAATCAGAGGGTAGAAATTCTTAAGACTTAAAAACAAGATCCAGCAGAATATTCATTCACAAAAGGTTCATTTAAAACCAACAGATGCAGAAATGTTGAAAATAAAAGGACAAAAAATTATATACTAGGAAATACAAACTTTAAGCTAGGGTGCCAATTTTGTATCAAAAGGGAAATTGAAGGAGAGATGAATGGGCAAAGGAGAAGCTTTAAAGTGCTAAAAGGAGCTCAAAAATGTATGACCACCATTAACAACACAGTTGCATCTCACAGCATATGTTCAAATACGCAAAACAACAACTGACAGATCTAGCAATAAGTGAGGAATGGATTAATCAATAATTGCAGAGATATTAAACACACCTATAAACTGAAAGAATGTGCAACAGAGTCAGCAGATTGACTAAGGAAAGAATTCAGCAAGTTTGCTAGACACAAAATCAACTTATGAATGCAATAACAAAAAATTAAATACCATTCCCAGCATCAAAAACTACAAAGTATTTAAGATTTAACCTCATAAAGAATACAGAAGATATAGAAAACATTTAAAGACTCAAATAAAGAGAAGATGGAAATATATATCATGTTCATGAAAAGCAAGATATTACAAAAATGCCAGTTTTCTCCAAAATAATCTATAAATTCAATATAAATTCAATTAACATGCCAGCAGAATTTTTTGGGAAATCTGACAAACTGATTTTAAAATATACTTGTAAGTAATGATATACTAGATATTAAAACAGATTCCACAGCCAGAGTAATAAAAACACATTAGTACTAGACCAATGTAACAGAATAGAAAAATCAGTAACAAACCAACTGGGAAAGGATGGATTATTTAGTAGATAATACTAGGAAAACTGACTCAATATGGATAAGCACAAAGTTGCATTATATCAAAATGACAATATCTATGCAAAAAACTCAAACTGTTCAAATGGGTTAAAATCTAAATGTGAAAGGTAAAATAGAATGATAACTAATAGAAAACAGAAAATAACACTTCTGTGACCTCAGGAGACTGGGTGGCAGATAAGGAAGGATTTTTTTAAAACCTAAACTATGGGTGAAAAAATGAAGACTGTGTAATTAAAGGGTTTTTGTTCAAGGGAGGATGTAAACCTATTTTGCTCACCTACCTCCCTAGTGATGACAGGGGCTGTGTCAATCTCCTTGTTACCTCCCACAAATGATACCATGATACAAAAATTTCTCACATGTGTTAATATTACACAGATTAGGAGAAAATATTGTTAATATCCAGCACTGACATGTAATTAACTTCTGGAATATGGATGAAACTCCTGATATTGATATATAACAGGGAAATGGGACAAGGGTCATGACAGTGTAAAACCTACTTAGTCTGCAAAAAAGGCCCATCATATTCTTTAACCTAATCTATACACTCTTTTTCCTTTTCTTCCAGCCCTTTAATCAATTAAGTAACTTTGCAACCAGGATGAGAGACAGACCCCCAGAGTGTAAATGAACCTACCTGAGTAAAAAATGCTGAGATCTGGTTGAACACAAGTCACTAAATACCCCTATTCTTAACACAAAACTTCAAAGGAATTATGAAACACCTGTATATATCATGCCTTATGCTGACCCCTACCCAAAGGCCCTATAAAACCCCAAAGCCTAAAACCCTTAAGTGCTCCTCTTCTCTGAGATTCCTTACACTCCCATCTGAGTATTGTTTTATAAAATAAACTTTCTTGTTACATAAATCTAAGGCACTTGTCTTTGAACTCTTCTCCATGATAAAGACAGGAACTCATGGAAACTGTTTTTGTAACTTTGTCACTTCATTCAGATTTCTAGTCTTAGCAGAATCCTTTTCCCTCTCCTTGTTTTATTGCAGACCAGTAGGGAAGTGGAAATTCTCAACATAATCTCACTCCACTCAGCCCTCTGGGGCTCCCCCAAATCCTAGGGTGGTAGGGATATAATTCCCACACCATGCAGATCAGGTGGACATTGGATGCCAGAGGACCCTGGCTTTAGGAGTTGGCAAGGGCCTTCCCCATCCTCCCTCTGTTATTCCTTGCTCTCTCCTGCCTGCACGGCTGCTAACATTTGCTTGTACTTTTCCTTGCTGGCACTTTTTCGACCTGATGGGAATTCTTTCAGAACTGATAATAATCAAGAGCCCTCCTTTCATCTAGTGTGCAGAGAGAGAGACCTCCCCAGATGCAGCTGCCCAGCAACAAAATCACTAGGAAAAAGATAGGAAACACAATAGAAAAATGGGCAAAAGACAAGAATAGGTGACTTACTCAAGCTGGAAACTTAAATCAGCATTAAAGTAATGGGGGAGATATAACATTTAACTCATGCAAATTGAAACAAGACAAACCCATAAAGATGGAAATACCAGAAAATCAGATCAGGAATAATGTGTGTAAAGTGGGAAACATGAGCAATGCTGGTGGGGCTCTAAACTGCTGGGACCGTTCTGGGAGCGATAAGCACCTTACAGCGTAAGTGTTCACATAAGCATGCAACCCAGCAATCCCACTTGCGAGTACATATCCCAAAACAGTCCCACAATTCCTTAAAAAAGATATGAATGAATATGTTTATCAAAATAAATATATGAAAGATGGTCTGGGAGGACATATCTTAAATACAACAGACTGGGTATCTCAGGGGAAAAGGGGAGTGTAAGTGGGAAGTGGAATATAAAGGGAAATAAAACAACAAAAGAGAGGCCTTTCATGGACCTAAGGAGATAATAGCCAGCCATGGACTGAAAGGTGTAACTAACTCAATTTGGGTACCTGGTATTTAAAAAATGGATGCTACCTTATTGATCCAAAGATCAAGGTATCTTCTTGTCACAAATTTATTTTATATATTTACCAATTCCCAAACTGATAGGAACCTTAGTGCTGTCCAGAACTTTCTTCATCATCTTAGCAATAGATACTTCTGCTCTAAGTTCTAGGTTCTGCCTTTGTTCCTCTGGGGGAAGACGGAACTTTATAATTTGGACTCTCCTTTAGAATGGTAACTATAACTTAGGTAAACATAAATATGATAATAAAAACATTTCCCCTAAGTGTACTTATTTAAATATCTTTAATTTTTTTTTTTTACAGCTTCACTGTTTTGATTGATGAAAGGTTTTGCTGAAATTATTTTCAGAAAGCCATAGCCTTCTTAAAGCCAGTTTAAAATAAAATGGGAAAGGGGGGGAAAAAAGATGGTGGAGCAGGAAGGTAATGCAGAAACCCCCTCCCATCACATACCAAGGGAGCAACTACAGCAAAAACGACTGACCCTGAAAATGACCTGAGACTGCAGGATAAACCACCTACACCAGGTGAAGAGAAGACCACACAGAAAAGGGTAAAGTGGCACAGCTACCATCAGTTGGGACCCCGGCCCTTCTTCATCCCAGCCCATAGACAGGAGGAAGAGGAATGGAGCAGCAGAGGGGAAGACATTCAGGAACTCTGCAAACCTGGCTCTGGAAATCTGCTCTGGAAACAAGGCAACATTGCATTCGATTCCGGTGATCAATAGGGCTGGACACCAGGGAGAGTTAGAGCACTCTGGGAGGTGGAGATTTCAGGCACTTGTGGAAGACGGGCATGCTCCACGGGTCCCACTGAGACCCAACACAAAGGCAGAAGTTTGAAGGATTTTCCACAGCAGGGTGCAAGAGGGGCAAGAGTTGGACAGAGTTCTCTCCACAGGAGAAAGGACAAGTGTATGAAATGTCGCCAGCCCTCCCTCGGCCCAAAAGTTCAGGGGGGCCTGAATGCTCTATTCCCCTTGCAGGTTGCTTAGCCTCAAGACGCTTCCATGCACACCCGCCTGCTGAGCCCAGGAGTTCAGACTTTGCCTCCTGGCAGAGAGAGGGAGGTTTTCCCAGCTTTCTAGGTCCGGTCTTGGCCCAACGAGGCAGACGTCTGTGGGAGTCATCTTCAAGCACTCCTTCCTCCTTGTGAGCAGTCCAACCTGGTGCTGCACATGCCTCTTGATGCTGCTTGAACACCCCACCCAACCTATTAGCCCAGCAGCTCTGCCATGGCTGCAGGGCAGGCAGAGGGCAGTCCTACCCACAACAATCCCCACATAAGTGCCCCTGCTCTGCTCACAAAGGGCCAACTGAGGCCAACTGCC